AGATAGATAGATAGATAGATAGATAGATAGATAGATAGATAGATAGATAGATAGACAGATAGATAGATAGTATATGTACTAGTAAAAATACCCGTTCTACGAACGGAATTATAATGAAGAAGTATTAGGAAAGTTGGGAAGAAGAAAAAGACGGAAAACAGGAGAGAAAAACAACAACTCATAAATATTTTACCTTGGAGCCTGAAGGTGTTCATCTACATTTTGTTCTAAAAACAATGCCGAGTCTTTGTCTGCAACTAGACCTAAAGTTGGGCCATTTCTCCGCCGATGAGGCAGGAACTCATTGTCTAGTTGTCTCCGAACTCTTTCCCATTGTCGTCTGGCCGTTCGCCTTTGTTCCTCTTGACTACCTCTAGGGGTAAGACTTCTTCCCCCTCTTTGAGGGCGAGGCATTTTCTTCTAAAAAATCAAGCTCAATCACTTTTTTCAAAGAGTTAGGTGAATACAGAGAAAAGTAGGATTGTTGTTTTTAGAAATGGAGGCTATCTCAAAAGATCGGAGAGATGGTATTGGGAGGATAAGATCTTTGTAGAGACAGTAACCTATTATAGTTACTTGGGCATTTCATTTTCATCGCGTCTATGCTGGAGACGAACGCTGGAAGATCGAGCTTGTAAAGCTCAACGGATTGTTTCTCGAACAAGAAGGATTGTCGGTTTTTAACCAAGAATTAAATTTCGAAACAGTAAAAAATATTTTTGATATAAGGATTAAACCAATGCTGCTTTATGGCTCTGGAATTTGGGGTACCAAAAATTGGGACGTGATTGATCATGTTCAGGGAAAGTTCTGGAAAGCCTTTTGAGGTCTTGGCGAAATTACACCCAAATGTTAGTTCTAAGAGAAGTGGGAAGAACCAACTTATGTTCTGATTACATGCATTGTGTCATTAAATTCTGGTTCAGAATATACTCAGAAAATAACAGATATCCAAAGAAATGTTACATGCAATTATATCGTTCCTGTGAACTGAGCAGAGTCAACTGGGCTACGGAAGTTTAAGACCTATTATTTTCCCTGGGTTTTGGATATGCATGGTTTTCTCAAAATGTTGGAAGTACTAGAGTCTTTCTCGGAGAAGTAAAAAGTAGACTTGTTGACCATTCTGTGTTGAACATAGAGGAAGAAGTCTGTTGCAAGTATAAGGTTTTCTCTCTTACAATTCTGTTTCAAGAAACAGCTGAATATATCACCAACCTCCCACTGTATTGGAGCAGAAGAGTCATAGCTTGGTTAAAAACCCATAGCCTTCCTCTAAATAGCCATCTCTATCTAAGGAAATTAACTAATTCTCATGAATTTGAAGATGAATTTCACTTTATTTTCTATAGTTCACACTGTGTCCATCAAAGGAAATTGTTAATCCCTCCCAGCCTGATTCGGCCCTGTGACAGAAATATGCAATGCTTGACCCATGATAAGAGATGTGTGCACAACCTGTACTTATTCATTATTGAAACTTTACTTATCAAATGAGTGTTTTATGTTATGTGATATGGGCCAATGGCTTAAAACACTGAATAAACTTACTTACTTACTTACTTACTAAATCCCTCTCTCCGAAGGTCGGCACAACGACTGGTATCCGGTTCCAGGGATGAAACCGATTAAGCGGAAACGATTCAAAGGCGGCCGATTTGATAACGTGACGCTGGCATCGGATCCTTATCTTTTGTTTAACATAAAAGGTAAGTGTCTACAACCTTTATCTTTTGTTTAACATAACAGGTAAGTGTCTAAAACTTTTATCTTTTGTTTAATATAAAAGGTAAGTGTCTAAAACCTTTATCTTTTGTTTAACATAACAGGTAGGTGTCTAAAACCTTTATCTTTTGCATGTTTAACATGAAAGGTAAGTGTCTAAAACCATTATCTTTTGTTTAATATAAAAGGTAAGTGTCTAAAACCTTTATCTTTTGTTTAACATAACAGGTAAGTGTCTACAACCTTTATCTTTTGCATGTTTAACATAAAAGGTAAGTGTCTACAACCTTTATCTTTTGTTTAACATGAAAGGTAAGTTTCTAAAACCGTTATCTTTTGTTGAACATAAAAGGTAAGTGTCTAAAACCTTTATCTTTTGTTTAACATAAAAGGTAGGTGTCTACAACCTTTATCTTTTGTTTAATATAAAAGGTAAGTGTCTACAACCTTTATCTTTTGTTTAACATAATAGGTAAGTGTCTACAACCTTTATCTTTTGTTTAACATAAAAGGTAAGTGGTTAAAACCTTTATCTTTTGTTTAACATAATAGGTAAGTGGTTAAGACCTTTATCTTTTGTTGAACATAAAAGGTAAGTGTCTACAACCTTTATCTTTTGTTGAACATAAAAGGTAGGTGTCCAACCCTTTATCTTTCGTTTAACATAAAAGGTAAGTGTCTACAACCTTTATCTTTTGTTTAACATAAAAGGTAAGTGGTTAAAACCTTTATCTTTTGTTTAACATAATAGGTAAGTGGTTAAAACCTTTATCTTTTGTTTAACATAAAAGGTAAGTTTCTACAACTTTTATCTTTTGTTTAACATAATAGGTAAGTGGTTAAAACCTTTATCTTTTGTTTAACATAATAGGTAAGTGTCTAAAACCTTTATCTTTTGTTTTATATAAAAGGTAAGTGTCTAAAACCTTTATCTTTTGTTTAACATAACAGGTAGGTGTCTAAAACCTTTATCTTTTGCATGTTTAACATGAAAGGTAAGTGTCTAAAACCATTATCTTTTGTTTAATATAAAAGGTAAGTGTCTAAAACCTTTATCTTTTGTTTAACATAACAGGTAAGTGGTTAAAACCTTTATCTTTTGTTTAACATAATAGGTAAGTGGTTAAAACCTTTATCTTTTGTTTAACATAATAGGTAAGTGGTTAAAACCTTTATCTTTTGCATGTTTAACATAAAAGGTAAGTGGCTAAAACCTTTCTTCTTCTTTGTAAAAATTTGATTGAACATTGGTTTGTGTTTTAGTGCCTTCCAGTTCAGAATGTTTCTGTCTTCAATTAAATATTCTCATTATTGTCATTTAACACTTGTTTCTGAGATCAGTCTGTTGGGTGATTTGCCGTGCGTAGCACACAAAAGACGTGAGTTCGATTCTCACGAATGAAAATGCTATTGGCAGTATTATTATTATTATTATTATTATTATTATTATTATTATTACTATTATTATTATTATTGTTATTATTGTTATTGTTGTTATTATTTATTATTTTTTAAATGAAATTATTATTATTATAATTATGATTATTATTATGATTATTAATTTTTTAGATATTATTATTATTAATATTATTGTTATTATTATTATTATTATTATTTTTATTATTATTATTACTATTATTATTATTATTTATTATCGCTATTACTATTATTATCATTATCATAATCATAATAATTGAGTAACTCAGTCTGTGTACTGGGGCAGTGTATCCCGCCGAGTCCGGGTTGGCCCCGACGGGGGAAGTCGAAGGAACTTTATGTCAAATAGCATTATCTTCTCAACTATATGGAACATAGGTTCTCAATTATTTTTTTTCCCAATTACTTGTAACAATTTGTCTTAACAGATCAACATTTTTGTAAACACCTGCTAGCGTCGGTGGCAAAGTGGTTATATAGGCTAGCAAACTCGTAATCGAGAGGTTGCGGGGTCGGGGGTTCGAGCTGCGGGCCCGACGTTGTGTTCTTGGGAAAGGCATTTTACATGAATTTTCCTCACTTCACCCAGGTGGAAATGGGTAACCGGCCATAGACAGCGAAAGATCTTGTCAGTATGTTAGTGTTTTAGTGCCTATATATGGCTGCTTGCACTGTATGCTTCCAAGGAAGTTGAGTTTGCTTCAGATTGCTCTCAGGTCTGCTGGGGTAATATAGTATATATTGTAAAGAGCATAGAGCTTGCTATTGAGCGGGGATTTGCGCTATACAAATGCTATTATTATTAGCTATATTCTAGAAAATTCCTTAATAAATACTAATTTTAAAAATCCAAGTGGGTGGTTTCTAGAGATTATTTAAATGTTTACAAGTGGGGCAATATTGCTTTTAATTAATAATGGTATGTTTGTCATGGTTTTTCTAATCCCGACATTATGCTTATAGAACGCATATTTTGAGAAGCATTTGTAAAAAAAATGCGTTCACTATAAAATTAATTTCTTGTTACGAAACACTAAAA